GCAGCTCCACATGGATTCTCAAAATGGTTCAGCTGCAAAACCTTCTTCTTCAAGGTCTCAGAAGGCAGTGCTAAGGTAGCACCCTGCTCCCCACACTACCACATGTGTCTAATGAGTTTTCCTGCTTGGCTGTTTCTATTTAAGTCATCTGGATTTTATTTTGATTCAATCTCTCTACCAGCTGCTGATGTCACCTACTCCTACTGCTTTCAGGCAGGAGCAGGGCAGGGAAGGATAAGTCTGTCTCCAGAGCAAGAGTCAGTAGGAGAAAAATCTCTCTCTGGGCAGCTTTTTAAAAAATTCAGTTTGATTTTCCTCACTTAACAAAAATCTATCTTCTCTCCTTCCCACCTCCCCCAACATGGAAAACAAACAAACAAATAAAATCTCCAAAACAAAACCTTGTAACAAATATGCAGAGTCAAGCAAAAAAACAGAATCTGGGCAGTTTTTGAGGAAGAAACTTTGTTGGACTGTTTAGATTATCTGAGTTACAGTTTGTTTTCCCCCAGCTGTCTGCTTTTTCTTCACTCTTTTTTTCTTTCTGTATTTCTTTTTCCTCCTTTTCCTTCTTGCTGTCTCTTGCTGGGCATTTGTCTTTTCTTTCCCTACCTCATGCACTCTTGGCCTTTCTTCTCTTTTGGACTCCACCATCTTCATTCTCTTGTCCTACAGCCCTTACTTTGGGAGCTGCTCAGAGCAAGACTGCTTTACTTAGGCCAGTCACCATGAGTACCCTCAAGAGCACAAGGGCTGGTGATGACCACAAGGTTGTCATGTGTTCTGTCATGACTTTGACATTTGGAAGGGGAGGGGCCTGGAGTGGTGTGGCTCAGTCCAGTAGTGTATGCTGGCTTTCCCAGCTGCCTTGGAGGAGATTGTCCCATCTTGCGGCAGTATCCTTGTTTCACAACGTAAACTGGGGTGATGACAACATGAAAGGTTGGGAGAACTCTTCCTCTTCCCCCTAATAAGATTTCCAAATTGTTTCTAAAAGGATAAGTAGGCGTGCTAGCGTAGGGGAGGCCAATGCCATTGGTGCCAGGGCCTCCATTTTGTTATCTGTAACAGCGAGGGAGGAAGGAGCTGCCCCTGTCAGCAAGAATGGAGACGGCCTCCTGGAATGATCACCTTCATTTTAGGAACAGGAGCCAAAAGGGGCAGGCAATGGAAGCCACCTGCTGGTTTTCCTGAGAGAAGAAATTCAATCCTGGGTCCTATTTTCTCAGAGAACAAATTAAGGGCAGCAGCTCTTTTGGTCCCCAGCTTTACTTCCTGAAAGTTGTAGAAATCCCCAGTAAAAGCCAAGAATGAGAGTTGAAACCTCTTTCACCCTTCCCAATTCAGTCCTCCCTGGGGCTTCAGTTCAAAGCATCATGGGATACCAGAGCTGGAGATAGTCTAATTCATCCCTTTATTTTAGAGGGGGAAACTGTATATACTCATGCCATACTTGTGTATGTGTCAGCTCCAAAATCGGTTCCCACTTCTGAGGAGGGAGCCCTGGATTGAGGCAGGGCTCCCACTACCTCTCCATTAGCAGTTATTCTCCCTCTCCTCAATTCCCTGCCCCCAACCCCCAATGCCAAGAGCACATTCTTATTCTACATCTATGTGTCTTCTGTTCTCTGGTATTATCCATGTCTCTCAGTGATTCCTAGCTACACTGGAGTTTAACTCTTGTCCTTCCTTTTACCTCTGTTAGGACTATGTGTACGTACACACACACACACACACACACACACACACGGATTACGGTAGATTTGGCAGGATTCCAACTATTCTCAATAAAGACCTTTACAGAAAACCAACTGCTGGCCCACTCAACTTCCCGAGACCTCCATTCCCACTATTTAGGCAACTTAACTTTTAAGGAAGTTCTAGCTGTGTCTGACCCCTCCTACTGCGGTCTGCCTTTCAGGGCATGAGCAAAAAAGGGCCTCTGTTCCAGGAGCAGTGAAATTTTGATCTTACATCTCCCCTAGTCCTACCTTACTTCTCTTCTCAAAGGCAATCCAAAAAACCCACCTAAAACCTAAGTTTCCTGACTTTCCAGCCCCTGTACCCCACTTCACCTCCTCTTGCCCTTAATTGCATCTGGAAAATATTGAGGGTATAAAAGCATCCTTGGGCTGGCTTTCCACTCTTGGGTGGGAAGCAAAGCGTGTGTCCAGGTAACTGATAGAGGAGGAGGGGAGGGGTGACCACAGGGCACTGTGCCAAGTTTGGGGAGCAGCGGGGGCTGGCGGCCCCATGCCACGTGGTGGCAGCGGCGGGGTCCGGGGCGCCTTTCCAGCTGAAGGAACGGGGAGCAGCCGGGGAGGAGGCGGCGGCGGCGGTGGTGGTGGTGGTAGTGGTGGAGGAGGAGGAGGAGGAGAAGGAGGAGCGGGGCTAGAGGGAGGGAGGGAGGGGGCAGGGGGAAGGGTGGGGGGTGGGGAGAGACCCGGCGGCAGCGACAGGGCGAGGAGCGGAGCGCGGTGCCGGGGGTGGGGGCAACTGTGCCAGTCTTGGGAGGGAGCTGGCGGAGGGGGGAGCTGCGATGCAAACCGGAGCCGGCAGCTGACGTGAGTCCCTGGCTGGGGCCGGGGTTGGTGGGGTGGGATGGGGAAGGGGGCGGTGCTGATGGCAGCGGTACCTGGGGTCCTATGCCGGGAGCCCTGGCTGTGTCGCGGGGGATGGGCCGGGGGCATTGGCATGCACTTCGTTAGGGATGGCGGGAGGGGAAGGGTCCCAGTGCCCGGGCCGCTGCATCGGCCCTCCATCCCCATCCCCCCTGCTCCTCAGGCCCCGCAATCTCCGGCGCCCCCTCCCCGAACCCCACGAGCTTAAGAGGCATGGAAGGTGTTGGGGCAGGGGATCAGCCAGGAGGGAGAAGGGGGGGCTGCGTGGTCTCAGCCCCCGAAAGGGGAGGGGCGACAATTCCTTTCCGCCGAGCTAAAGGGGTTTAAAGGGCGGCTCTTAAAGGGGCCGCGGGAGGGGCTCGGGCTAGCTAAGCAACAGTCCCCCTTCCCCTTCCCATACTCCCACTACCTCTCCCTCCCTCACCTCCCGCCCCGCCCCGCCCCTCCTCCGGCTAGGCCCCGAGGGAAGGATGCGGAGGGAGCGAACCTTTGGCCCGCCAGCCGTCCGGCGGATAGGCCTGCCAGTCTAGCAGGCTGCAGGGACCCCCCATCGTGGGGCGGGCCAAGGCCGGCCGAGGGAGCCGGCTTAGAGGGCCTGGGGCAGCGCCCAGGGGCCTTGGCCTCTTCCTCTCCCCGGGGGACCAGGGTGGCGTGGGGTGGGCCGGGAGTATGAGGAGCAGAATTGGGGGAAGGAAAGGGTTAAAGGTGGGGCCAGACACACAAACACACCCACCCGCTAGACATACACACAACTGCCACGCACGTTTCCCTGACGCTTAAAGCCAAGGCTGCTTGTGGGTAGGGATTCGGGGTCCTGGGTCCTAACCTCTGCTGCCTAGCTTTGGAAGCAAACACCCCCCTTCCTTCCTTCCTTCCCACAATCCTCATACTCTGCCAACACACACAGAGCTTTGGCTCAGGGACACACACACACACACACACACACACACACACACCCCTCTGACATTCCCTTACGTGCCTTACGTGCCACAAACCCACCCAGTTCTCACATCCACACTGACAACCCAGAACAATATACACACAAACGGCTTCAAGCACTCTCATTTTAGTCTCTTTCTACCAGCACCCCGAAGCCAAACCCTCTCATTGAGGTACCAGGTCTGACACCCACACTCATTCAGAGATACACAATACTTCCCCCCTACACACACTCAAAATCACACAGATACCCACATTCATAAACAGGTTCTCTCTCTCTCCCTCTCTCTCTCTCTCTCTCTCTCTCTCTCTCTCTCTCTCTCTCTCTCTCTCTCACACACACACACACACACACACACACCCAACCTATTATTGAAGGAACCCTAAACCTTGTAGAGAAGTTAAGTCAGCAACCAAGGCTCCATCACATCTAAGCCAGGCCTTCATTACTAACACTAAACCTTTACTTCTGACCGGGAGACCTTCCCTAAAACCTGATGATCATCCTTCAGGCTGAATCTCCCTCCTCAATGCTGAGTTTCTATATCTGACACTGAAATCCCTTATTTATTACACTGAGCCTGTAACCCTGACACCAAAGTTCCTAATCTTTCCCTGACACAGCCTTCAGTCTCTATCCTTCAGGTTCCCATCTCTGACATGAGCCTCTCCCTCACATTGGGCCACAATCATCAACAACGAATCTCCCATAATTGACACTGAGTGCCAACCCCATACCTGTCTGATACTGAATTCCCTCAATGCCGGCTCCTGACATTGGGCTTCCCATATCCAATACTGAATCCTCCATCCCTGATATATCCCCACATCCTTGACACTGAACTTTCCCATCCCTGACTGACATTGAGCCCCTCCCACCTCCTGATCCTTACAATGGATTTCCTTCACTCTGTATTGAAACTCCTCCCCTCCCACATCCCTCAGACACACCCTCGTCCTTGAAACCTAGCCCTGCCATCCCTGATACCCAACCCTGAATCCACTGTCACTGAAACTGAGCCCCCTGACAAATGAGCCTTCTCTGTCTGTGATACTGAACCCCCTCATCGTTAACACAGGGCCTCTTATTCCAGACACTGAGCCCTCTATCCTCACCACCAAGTCCTCCATCACTGACACTGAGCCTTCACCATCCCTGACAATGAATCTTCATCTCTGAGCCTCATCTCTGACATGGGCGCTTCTGGCCTTCCTCTCCCTGGGCCCTAGACATAGGCAGAACATGAATAATGACCACATCCAGGCTTCCAATGAGGGCTTGGAGAGAGTGGGGTGGGGGGAAGGGAGGGTGTTTCCTTTTCCTGAACTCTGGAATCCTCTGGGAGGAAATAGGGTGGAGGGACAGGCTGGAGAGGATATGATGCTGGGAGTTTAGGAGAGCTGATACTCCAAGAGGCCCTTGTTGATCCTTTGAGAAAGAGTCCTGGGGGCAGGACGAACTTGGGATCAGGAGCATGGCTGCAAGGTATTTGAGACTTGCTGGGCAGCTATGAGAAGGGAATTGGGTCAGGTAAGGTGGAGGCACCAGGACCCCAAGTGTTGGCATCATTGGTCTCTAGTAGGATGTGAGGGCTGGGATTCCTGAACCTCTTCCCTGCTGTGGCCATCAGTTTCCTTATTCCTCATCAGGAAGGGAGATAAGCCTGAGATCCCTGGTGACTTTAAGGGGGATGGTTTTAGTAGCCCTGGGGGTGGGGATGGGAGTGTAGTACATAATGACCAGGATTGGCTTCAGCTTCCTTAGAGTTATAGGGGTTGGACAGAATGATTCCCTCCCCCTCCCCCCACTCCAACCCATCAAAGGAGGAATGGGGTCTTTAGGGTTGGGGTCTTTCGACCTGAAGTCACCCACAGTCTAGCTGGACCTTATCTAGACTTTGCTCTCCCTCTGGCCCAGGGTCTCTCTCCTTCATAGTGAAACTGGGAAGTCCCCTGCCCTCATGTCCCAAAAGGATTAAAACAGAGACACAAGGAATGTGGATGAGCCATGTGGTAGAGACACACCCACCCACATTCCCACTTGGGCTGGGGGAGGTTTTGATATTGGGCGCCCTTGGCAGACCTTGGCTCCCCCTTCCCCCCCACCCCCCCAGGTGGCTCCACCAGGGCCCCTGCCCCTCACCTGAGTGCCATGGAATCCATGTTTGAGGACGACATCAGCATCTTGACCCAGGAGGCGCTGGGGTCCGGCGAGGTGTGGCTGAATGGGCCGGGGGGCCCTGTGCTGGGCAGTGACATGTGCTCTGCCTCCCACTTCGCACTCATCACAGCCTACGGGGACATCAAGGAGCGGCTGGGGGGGCTGGAGCGGGAGAATGCCACCCTACGGCGCCGACTCAAGGTGTATGAGATCAAGGTCAGGGGCCATCCAGGCCTCCCTCCATCCCCACTGTTTCAGGGAGGGATCTTGTTAAGGGCCCTGGTGGAGGAAGCAGATTATTGGTCCCATTGGTTTTCAGGGGTCTCCCAAGAGGGATCTAATGTTGTGTTTTATTCATGGGATAGTGTGGAGAGATCAGCAGATCATCTGCTCCTCCAGAAGGGTTATCAATAATCTGTCCCTTAGGACATCCAGTGGTAGGTTTAGGCTCCAGAATACAAAGATCTGGTTCATAGATCTTCACTGGGGATACCTCTTGGTGGGTTCTGCTAGTGGTGGAGTTGGGAAATCTGGTAGAAGGATCAAGCCAGGACCATCTGAGAGACACCTGAGAATGGTGTCCACTGAAGGATGCATGCCAGAGGCAGGAGAGGGATTTGGGAGTAGCTTAGTTGGGAATCTAAAGAAGGGATCCGCTGTGGCGTTTTGGAAGAAAGAGGAGAGGTGACCCTCAGGGATGGTACCAATGGGTCAGAGGTCTGGAAAACAGAGTAAGGCATGGGTAGTGTGCCCAGGAAACTGTCCCTTTTGAGAACCCTCCTTCCTGCCTTCTGCAGTACCCAGTGATTGGCGACTTTGGAGATGAACACAATTTCTCCTTGTATGAAATTAAGGAGGGCTCCCTCCTGGAGGTGGAGAAGTCCAGTCTACAGCAGCAACTCAATCAGTTCCAGCATGAGGTGAGCCCCATTTCCCAGGGGACCATTGCCTGTGTGGTTCTTTCTCAATCTCCCCTTCTGCATTATGCCCCAGGGTGGGTATCAGAAGTGATCATCCTTGCTCCTTTGCAAAGCCTGAAGTCTGCTGCATTTGCCCCTGCCCCTTTGCAAGGTGCTTAGGGCTGGGGAGGATGTGCAAGAAATGACAAAATAGGATCTTGAGAAACCAGTGCTGTGGTGTTGGAATTAGGGTTGTTAGCTGTAATTAGGACTGAACAAATAGGCCTCCCCCACCCCTAATCCCACAACCGTGGACCTCCTCCCTCATTTCTTTACTGAAGGTGAAACAATCCCTAGGTATGGCACTGCCTGAATTACACTCTTACTAGCTGTGTGAAGCTAGTGTAATCGCTCAGCCTCAGTTTCCTTGTCTGGACAAAGGGACATGATAATAGTAGCATTACTTCCCATGCTTTCTGTATTTCCTAGTGAGGAAATCACGTTGTAAATCTTAAGAAGCTAAAAGCAATGTAAATGATGTTTCTGTCTGCCTCTGACCCTGCCGTTCCCTGTTCCTCTCCCTTCCCTCCCCACCTCCCCACCTCCCCCCGGTTCTTGATCAGCTCCAGAAGAGCAAGGAGCAGGAAGAACAACTTGGGGAGATGATACAAGCATATGAGAAGCTGTGCGTAGAGAAAAATGACCTGGAAAACGAACTGGGGGAGATGGTGAGGCTGGTGTGTGTGTGTGTGTGTGTGTGTGTGTGTGTGTGTGTGTGACCCTGGGTCCATGTATTCCTTTCTGTGTGTGTATGGGTAGGTGGCTGGGTGGGGGTTTCTGTGGCTGTGATGCCAGCTGGCTGTGCATCTCAGTGTGGGTGTTTGTGTGTCCTGATGTACTCTGCCTCAGTGTGTGCTGGGGATGGAGTGGTATCACTGATGCTTCGGGGGAAGGGAGAAGAGAGCACGCTATGGAGTCAGGCTGGTTGGCTACTCAGAGAGCTTGTTCAAAACTGGGAGGCTGGGAGGCAAGTGGCGTCCAGGTTCCCCAGATCCCTGCCAGGGATGTGAATCCAGTGAAGCCCTGGGGGAGGGAATGAGGGAACTCTGGTTCAGAACTGAACTCCCCCCACTCCCCTCCCCCTGCCTCTCCCCTGCAGCGGGCTTTGGTGGAGACACACCTGAGGCAGATCTGTGGGCTGCAGCAGCAGCTTCGTCAGCAGCAGGGAGGGGGGGACAGCACCTTTCCCAGCCTGAGCCCTCCGGCAGCTCCTGCTCCTGCTGACCCTGACCTTGACCTCCACTACCTGGCACTACGGGGAGGACCTGGCCTCAGCCATGGTGAGATCCCCCTGAGGACTGGACCTCACGTTGATCCCATGATACCCTTTCTCCAGCACATAGACATATGCTCCTGTCCACAAGGAATTCTGTCTAGCTCTTTCTATGGCCAAACTAAGGAACCCCAAGCATGTAATGTTTAAGATGACCAGCAGAGGGCACTGCCCACCTAGACTCAGTAATGTCAGCCCTTCGGTTCCTTGGGTTGGGGAGCGGAAGGTGAAGATCTGGTTGAGAATCAGAAGATTCTGTTATACAGGCCTTGGCGAGGTCATTTAGCAAACTATGGAAAGAGGCTGCCTAACCTGTCCCAGCCCCTCGCGCCCTCCTTAGCTACCCTTCTTGTGGTGCGACTTGGCTACCTTGGGCTGCAGATCCAGCCGGAGGAAGGTCTCTCCTATTGCCCTTTATGTCGTATCCCAGAGGCTGGTGAAGGGGGAGAGGGGTGGGGGCAAACAACCCGAGGGCTCGGCTAACAGTGACCTTGAACCTGCCGTTCGACTTCCTCTTTCTGCTCTCTTTCTTGACTCTTGCTGCCTCCTAAAGTGCTAGAGCCTTCCTTAGGCTGGCCCAGCCCACCCAGTATTGGGGAACTGGAGAGGAGGCAGCTGGAAGAGGCTTTGGAAGCAGCTAGAGGGGAGGCGAGGGGGGCCCAGCTCCGGGAAGAGCAGCTCCAGGCTGAGTGTGAGCGGCTACAGGGAGAGCTGAAGCAGCTGCAGGACAGCAGGGCTCAGGTATGCCTCCTTGGCACCTCGTCTCATCCTGCATCTGAATCCTCTTTTCCAGCTTCTTGGGATCCAGGACTGGGGGAGGTGGATCCAAGATGAAGCTACAGGGGTCTGGGGAGGCTGAGGGAGGGGAAGACTTGGAAGAGCCTTTGGAAGCCACCTGGAAGTACCCAGGGAGAGCTGCCCTTCACCTACATCAGTCATGCCCATCACCAGAGGAAGTTTGGTAGGCAGTGGGGTGTCCCAGAGACGGAATCTGATGTGGAGTTTGGTTCTGAGGTCTCACTTTTTTTGGTTTACTTTTAATTTAATTTATATTTCAATTAGTGAAAAGTCCAACTTTTCTTTCTCCCACCTCCCCTACCCTATCCCATCCCCTACTGAAAAAGAAAGAAAAACAAAACCCGTGTAATAATTATGCATACTAGAGTATGCAAAAGAAATTTCTACATTGGCCATGTCCCCCCAAAAGCATGTCTCAATATGTACCCCGAGTCCAGCACCTCTCTGTCAGGAGGTAGGCAGGATGTTTCGCCATGAGTCCTTTGGAATTGCTTGGTCATTGCATTGACTTAAGGAGTCTAAAGTTTTTCAGTTATTTGCTTTTTCAGTGCGGTTAATTTTGTATAAATTGTTCTCATACTCTGCTGTAAGGTCTCTCACTTTTCAACTGTTTCTCTCTTTTAGGATTTGGCTTCCAACCAGTCAGAGCGGGATATGGCATGGGTGAAGAGAGTCGGAGATGACCAGTAAGTCTCATGGTTTTCCAGCCTACCCATCCTTCCTTTTACTCCCTGTCAGGGAACCTACCAGAACTCCCATCTTTGATTCCATAATAATAATAATGATGACATGGGGGCAGGGACTGGCCCTATGATTTTATTGGTACAGAGAATTTCCATGAGGAGTCTCTTACCAAGGGTGATGACACTTGCTTTTCAGTGTCTTAGAGAACTGGTTGGGACAGGGAGGGGGGATTAGGTGAATTGTCCAGGGTCACACAGCTAGTATGTGTCAGGGGCAGGTCATCCTGACTCTGAAGTCAACTCTTTCTATCCATGCAACTTTGTCATCATCATCATCATCATCATCATCATCATCATCACCTCCATCAGCTGTTTTTTGTTGTTGTTCAATCATGTTAGACTCTTTGTGACCCCATTTGGGTTTTCTTAGCAAAGATACTGAAGTGGTTTGCTACTTCCTTTTCCAGCTTATTTAACAGATGAGGAAACTGAGGTTAAGTGACTTGCTCAGGGTCACACAGCTAGTATTTTAGGCTGCATTTGAACTCAGGTCTTCCCTGATTCCAGGGCTAGCCCTCTGTGCATTATGATGCCACCTAGCTGCCCACCATTAACTATATATCATTTTAATGTATTCAGACAAATTCACATGGTCCCATTTAATTCTTTTTTTTTTTTTGGTTGGGCAATGGGGGTTAAGTGACTTGCCCAGGATCACATAGCTAGTAAGTGGTATATGTCTGAGGCCGGAATTGAACTCAGGTCCTCCTGAATTCAGGGCTGGTGCTCTATCCACTGCACCACCTAACTGCCCTCCCCCCCTCCCGACCATTTAATTCTAACAGGTAGGTTTTAGAAAGTAACAAAGGTAGTAGTATCTATATTTTATAGTTGAGGAAGATGAAGCCTGAAAAATGAAATGACTTGCCCAGTGTCACACAGGTAGCATTGAGTCAGAGGTGGGATTCAAACCCAGGTCTGTCTTGAGTCTCTAAGTCCCATGCTTTTTTCCAATGCCCACTCTGCCTCTCCCCACAGGGTTAAACTCTACCCCACCTTTGTCTCAGTGCCCAGCTGCCAGGGAGCTGTTTGGGTTTCCTGGGGTGGCTCTTTCTCCCTCTGTGGTTTCTCAATGGTAGGGTGGGAAGGAGGTGAGAGCAGGGGTGGAGTTCAGGGTTGGGGAAGTTCCCCTAATTCTCCTTTCATGCCCAGCCCCCTGCTGCTCTGGGGGTGGGATTGGGCCATGTTTCCTCGGTGGGATTCAGTTGCTTTGCTGCTGCTGAGCTGTATGCTGTTGGGCTACTCTTGCCCTCCATTTCTCATACACGCCAGGGTGAGTGAGGCCAATCCTTTCTTCCTTCCCCGGCAAGCAGAGAGGGGAGGGGGCCAGGCGGGTTTGATCATTCTTAGAGTTCTCTTTCCTCTGCTTCTTTGAAGGATCTACTTTCTAGGTGGGGATGGGTGTGTAGAACTGGGAGGCCCAGAAAAAGGCAGGAGCTCCCCTTGAATCACACAGCAATTGTAGGGGTAGAATTCCAGTTCGTAAGGTACACGTTAAGAATCAAACCAAGATGAGGGCTAAGATAGGAGCAGGAAGGGTTTGGTGCGTAGTAGTATCAGGGCCCCTGGGGGGAGACATGTGTTTATAGGATAAGGACTGGCCTCCCTGTGGGCTGTGAACAACAGCCAGGCCCTAAGCCTTCTGAAAAGCTCAGAACCATTCATGTTCAAACTCACTCCAAATCCTGTACCCCTACGTGAAATGGATGACAATAGATTCATTTTTTTAGGCAGATTTGAGGCAGAGAGAGAATTAGGAACTTGGCCCACATCACACACCATGCCAAGGCTTTGGACAAGTTCTGTTTATCAGCAGACTCCCTCCTGGATATCCAGAGGTGCCTTTTTCCCTACACAGAATGGGTCCTAGACTGATCTGGGATTCCCCATACACACAGACAGACAGACAGACAGACAGACAGACACACACACACACACACACACACACACATTGCACAGGATAATGAAACCCTTCTCAAGGATTGGGGTAAGGGCCTTAATACTCAGAAGCAGTTTTAGAAGAACTCTTCCTTACACACACACACACACACACACACACACACTTCCAGTTTCTATCCAAGTAATGTGGCCTTTGTCCCAACAGGGTGTTGTCAACTTACTCAGCGACCCTGGGCCAATCATTCCCCTCTCTCAGCCTCAGTTTCCTCATCTGTACAATGAAGGAGTTAGATTAGATGACTTTTCTAAGAGTCTTTTCAGCTCTGATGTTTTGTTCTAAGAGCCCTTGTCTGCTCTGTCATTGAAGTCTATGCAGTTGCCTTGGGGATAAAGTAGAAAGATGGTTCTAGAAAGAATTGGCATATGGGGTTATAGCTGTGAAGAGCCTGCTCCTTGTCCCCCATCCTTCTGCTCTGTAGGAGCACTCAGTCTAGTGCTGAGGGCTGGAATCCAGTGGAGGAATCTGAGGGTCTTGGGAGCCCATCTTGGCTCTGTCACTGAGATGCTGAATGCTGGTCCATTAATTCACCTTCTTCAAGCCCACCTTGAGGAGTGAGGTCAGAGATCAATAAGGGTGCAGAGATCTCAGCACTCAGAGTAGCCTAGCTAGATGGGAAGCTGACAGATATCTAGTGCCTACTTATATGAATGTGTCTGTGAGAGAGAAAATTCAATCTTTAACTGGATAGGCAGAGGTCAGATCAGGAAAGGCTTTTGAAGAAGAAATGCTTTTGAAAAATATCATTCTGGAATAGAATTTTTGAAACAGCTGTTACATATGTTTTATATATATCCATACATATAGATATGTATGTATACTTTTAATACCATAAGTATATGTAGCAAGGTTAATGTGACCTTTCTCTTTCAATCTATATGTGTATGACTGAAAAACACCCATTCATAGTTAGAAAACCTGAGTTTGAATCATTGCTCTTTTACTTACTGGCGATGTGACCTTGGGCAGGTCATTCCTCCTCTCTGGGCCTTAGAAGTTGGATAAGGTCATCCCTAAATTAGAAGACCTGATTTCCTGGTCTAGCTTAGCTAATTCAATTAACTAACCAAACTTATTGTGTGACCTTGGGCCAGTCATCTCCTCTTTCAGGGCCTCAGTTTCCTCAACTGCAGAATATGGGGGTTAGACTAGATGACCTCTACTGCCCCTTCCTGCTTTGGCATTCGGTGCTCTATATGCTATAGTCCCTTACAGTCCTGATGTTTTGTTTTTAGAGGTCTTTCTCAGTGCTGACATGCTGTGTCATGCTGTGGTCTATATTCTAAGGTCCCTTTAGCTATGACTTTATGTGGTCCCAACTCCCTCCTAATTCTGATATCTTATAATCCTCTAAGTTAATCCAATATGATGGGAAGTCAAAATAATAATTATGTTTTGTTTCTAGAAAGCACTTATAATGCATGTGTGTGGTGTGTCTAGGAACTAGAGTGAGGGCCCTGAGGAGCTCAGCTCCTACCCGATCTTTTTCTATGATGCTCAAAGAAGTTTATCTGATTAGCTGATAGTACCCCTAGGAAGAGAGGAGGAGCTTGGGGTTGTGTGGGACCTGAGGGAGCTGAGGGAAGAGGAGGAAGAGGAATGGAAGGAAGGGAAGGGAAAAGAAGGAAGAGGAGGAAGAGGAGGAAGAGAGGAGGAGGAGGGGAGGAGGAGGGGAGGAGGAGGAAGAAGGGGGGAGGAAGGGAAGGAAGGAAGAGAGAATAAAGAGAGGGGGGAGGAGGGGGAAGAGGGAGAGGAGGAAGAGGAAGAGGAGGAGGAGGAGGAAAAGGAGGAAGAGAGGAGGAGGGAGAGGAAGGGAAGGAGGGGAAGGGAGGAGAAGGGGAAGGAGGGAGAAAAGGGAGAGGCAGAGAAGGAGGAAGAGGAGGAAGGGAAGAGGAGGGAGAGGAAGAAGAGAGGAGGAAGGGAAGGAGGCAGATGGGGAGAAGGAGGAAAAGGAAAAGGATAGGAGGGGGAAGAGGAAGAGGAGGAGGAGGAAGAGGAGGAAGAGAGGAAGAGGGGGAGAAAGGGAAGGAGGAGAAGGGAGGAGAAGGAGAAGGGGAAGAACGAGGAAGAAGGAGAGGAGGAGGAGGAGGAAGAGGAGGAAGGGAAGGAGGCAGATGGGGAGAAGGAGGAAAGGAGAAGGGGGAGGAGAGGGAAGAGGAAGAGGAGGAAGAGGAAGAGGAGGAGGAGGAGGAGGAAAGTATGGCTACTAGTAAGTCTATGCCAGGATGCTGCTGATTAAGGATGAACACTAGGGTTGCCAATCAACTTGCCGAGTCTTTTATTGCCAAAGATGGTTTCTGGGAAGGACAACTGATGCTTAGATTGTTTTTTGTGAGGCAGCTGAGTATGGTGAAGATTGAAAAACACCCATTCGTAGTTAGAAAACCTTAGTGTGAATCCTTGCTCTTTTACTTACTAGTGATTTGTGTGGCAAGTCATTCCTCCTCTCTGGGCCTAAATTCCCTTCCAGCTCAGAATTGTAGGATATGAATTAAGCAAAGAGCCTGGTTGGGATAGGGTGGGGGTAGGGGTCCCTCGGATGTTTTTCATATTTATGCCCATTTCCTTTTCCTTACGATTTTGCTGACTATAGCAAAGACTAAGGAAGGAGAGAGGGCCCCAGTCAGGGCCCTGTAGTTGGTCCTGGGCCGCTTAAGCTTTAGATCTGAACCTTATTCCCCAGTCACTGTTGTCAGTGTTTGCATGTTAATGAGCCAACAGCATAGGGGGACTATTGGGGTAACTTATTTTAGCTATAAGAGCCCCACATATAGATTTAATGGCTTGAGGTTCTGGTTTCCAACGCCTGGACTGGAAGGTCCCTAAGGAAAAGCACCAGGCATTGTGATGGTGTAAGAAAAACCACAAGGTCAGAAGTGAAGAGTGGGCTTTGTGGGAGGACAGCGAGGTGGTACAGTGGATAGAGTACTGGCTCTAGAGTCAGAAGGACCTGAATTCAAATGTGACCCTAGACACTTATTAGCTG